CATATTCGGAGTCAGCGCCTTCAGAAGGCCTAGAGGCGACAAAACATGGAAAGCGAGAATTTGGGTAGACGGTGCCTTTAAGTAGTAAGAGCAAGTGCGCGCGGAAGACGGCAAATGCTGAAGTAACAATTTGAAGCACCGCCCACCTTGCGCCACGTCTTCATTTCCTGTCGAGACCTGTATCGGTCGACAAGTCCTGTCTAGACACGTGTTCGACATCCCAAAATCGCGCCGAGACTTGTATTGGCGCCAGTTCGTGTCAGGACATGTATTGGCCAAAATCCAATCCTGTTTTTGCATGGTGGAGGCGGAGCTTCGCTTTGGGCGCGAATTTGAATTTTTTGCCTTCCTCACTGCCTCCCAGTCGAAATTGGTACACATCCTGCCTGTGCAGTTACAGTAACCTTACCGTATCCCCACATGCAACTAGAGCAGATCCTATTTCAGCTATGAGCTCATCATCGTCGGAACACTCTAGCGATTCCACAATTTCTGGAAATGCACTGATGGACAATAGACCAATGAGTTCCCTGGATAAACTTCATTACATTATTGGAATGGGAATCTTGCGCGAAGAATTACGGTAACTTTAAAAATTACATTTATTTGAATGAATTTTGATCTACTCGATTTAGGGACGAAATCTATTGTCAACTTTGCAAACAGCTGTCTCAAAATCCTTCGCGGTTATCTGCAGCTCGTGGTTGGATCCTGCTTTCTTTATGTGTTGGGTGTTTTGCTCCGAGTCCAACGTAAGCATCTTACTAGATTTAGAATTTTAGTTTGATATCTTTAATAATTATTTAGGTTTATCAAATATCTGTACTGCTTTATCCGAGAACGGGGACCAACCGGTGCCGGTTATGCCGCATATATGGAAGAGCGCTTAAAGCGAACCGAACAAAATGGATGCAGACACCAGCCACCGAGCTATATAGAATTACAGGTAGAATTAGCAACATAATTTAAATTCCAAACATATTGCCTAGTTGTAGTTCTGGTTTATAGCCGTGAAAAAATTTTTGCAGAAAAAAACTGATACGTATAGATCAATCGCATCTATTGTTGTGCTATTACAATGATAACAAAAATGAAAGTAGCAAAATTAGAAATTCCAACTTCCGTCTCAATTCCAGAAATCAGACGAAAATCAGAATAAAGAAAGTATAGGG